CTTTCTCAGATGGAAAAATCTAATGACTGGCCTTGCACATCTCTAAACTCTTGTAAGCTACAATGCCTCTTTCTCAGATGGAAAAATCTTACGTCTCACGTTGCACACCTCTAAACTCCAGTAAGCTACCACGCCACTTTCTCAGACGGAAAATCTTACGTCTCAAGTTGCACACCTCTAAACTCCCGTAAGCTACCACGCCACTTTCTCAGACGGAAAAATCTAATGACACTACCTTCAGCCAAACTTTAACAATATTATTATGACCGCCCATCTTTCAATTCAGCTCGCCCGGTATATCTATTACACCTCCGGTGTCCTTTATCAAAATGAACTTTGTGCGAAGGAAACTTGAAGAGGGTTGCCGAAATCGAATTTGTGTGGGCTTGTGACGTTGCATCCGGCCCTCATACCCACGTCTGAAAACCAACCATCCACGGCCGAGGTGATCACCGTGGGCCACCGAATTCAATCCACGGAGATTTGGGCCACCGTTGTCGCCATGGGCCAGACGGAACGGTGCCAATAAACAGTAGTAAAGCCACCAACAGTCCGGCAATTTTGCAGGATTCGCTTATCGCTTCGAGTTCAAAGATGGTGTAAGTGAAAGAGCGTGTGTCCTAGTAGAGGGCGTCTGCTCTTGCGGATTAATGCTCATTGTCCTGTTCTGCTTTGCTTTGCTTCGACAGGGGTGGAATTTGCACCTGGGCAGCAACCAATTATCACGCAATTCATCTGTTGGATTCTATTCTATTCTATTCTACCCCACGACGTTGGTGCTTTGGGGCAGCCTTAGTTGGGGCGGATACCGGGCAGCTGTGGGCTTTGCTGCAACAGGATCTGGAAACCCGGCCTAAGGTGCAAGACTATCTAGCTCCTCCTAAGGTCTGCTGTCAACAGCTTTCTACTCCATGAAAACACTTGTCGAGTTAGAGCCGGGTGTCAATTTCTTTCTTTTACTTGCGTTATGTTTGAGCTAGCTATTAATAGTCTACTGGAGGCCCGCGATGCACAGAGAACATCGCGATTGGTTGTTCGGAACGTTTTCTGTGAATTTTGTGGAGGTACATGCCAATGGGCTTGAACGTTCTACGAATATGTGAATCTTGCGGAGGTACATGTCATTGGGCTTGATAACGAGAATACGACTGTATCCATCCTGGTAATCGTTGCCCTTGGGTTGGGCTGTGTCAGCTGCAGAGGTCCCGCATCAGCGGATGACATGAGCTGCGTTGATGGATGTTGGAACGATTCCATCGTGTGCTCTCTGCAACACCACAAGCCTGCCTGGTTGGATGTCATCGATTTCTTCAATCTCTTCCGCTGCCTGGTGCAGCCGAATGGCTTCTTCCTCCACACCAACTAGCTTGACTGCAGCTAGGTCCACTGGCTTCCAGGAAGCGCGGCTTGGATAGGCACCAGATGGATCGCCCAGAGGAATTGGAAACTCGGATGGTTCTTCCCCGCTCTCCCATGTGAACACTTTCGACTGCTGATATCTCATGAGCTCATCCTTGCTGATTCTGACCGCAGCGGGATCCTGACCGTAAGACTTGCGCTTCCCAGAACCAGAGGAACCTCCTAGGGGAATCTCGGAGCGGTGCCTTGAATACGTGTTGCCCATGGTGCCGGTACTGTAGTCTATTCGTTGTTTTGGTTGGTGCTTGTTGTTGGCGGCACAGTAAATTATGACATGGCTGGAAAGCTTTGATGGCTCTCCCCTTGGAGGCCATCTGGGCAATGCCATCAAGTAGCTCATCAACTGCGCAAAGCAGGCTTTGGCCATCATGCCCCCATCAACCATCAACCACAAGATGCTTTTGGTCTGGAGAGAAAAACGAAAATGGTGCCATGAAGACACCTAAGGCCTTTTCTTGCAGAAAGAGAATAAGTAGGGTCTTCCGTGGATTAAAAACATGGCTCCCGCGTTTCCAACCAATAACTCGTTTATTGCTTGCTTACTTACTTGTCTATCGGTACAATAACCGTTGGAGAAAGGAATCACGACTGGTCAGTGGGGGAGATTTACCTGGATTTTTAAGCCTGCTTGAACGATTTAGAGGCCAGTTTACTTCAAGAACGTCAGTGGATCGTTTGATCGTTTTTAAGTTTGTGACTGTCATAAGATTTATTAAAATTAAAGCAAAAGTGTTTCAGAAAAAGACAACCTAGCTAAAGGTAGTCACCAAGAGATTTAACACGACCTCCGTGGCTCTACCCCCACCAAATTGCCACCAATCGACACAAAAGGACATTGACGACTCCATCAACACCAATGGGGACAACAGTATGATCTACACCATCCTTTAGTAACTATATTAGAATGAGGATCTGCATCATGGGTTCACCTAAAAATCTGAGTTGTGGGGTGTGAGAGCCCATCTAGATAGCAAGCTTTGGAAGCTTTTACCCGTGCCTCATGGCTTCCTTGCCGCTACGAATGGTCTTGTGAGAGCTAGAAGGAGCCACCAGAAAGCCTCTAGAACTGTCTTGGACAACCGGTATATTTTATTCGGAGGCGGATAAGCTGCATGGCACGTCGTGTAGATGTGTACGACGGCCTCTTTGCATGAAACATCACAGGACACCACGGTTCGCTGCTCTAGCTAGCCAGTAGCTTCCTGTAGAACAAATTTGCCGCGTCCTGAAATTCCAATAGCGTGTTGTTGTTCTTGTTGTTGTTCTTGTTGTTGTTCTTGTTGTTGAGATAGCGGCTCCTGCGGGATTGTGGTCGGCCGATCCTGCTGTCGATCCTGCTGTTGACAGCGGTTGTTGTTGTTGTCTGTTGTTGTTGTCGTCGCCTTCGACACAAGGCAGTTACCATCGTCGCCGACGAGTTAACAGCTTCATCGTCGCCTCCTCCGTTGGACTAGTAGCCGTAATGGCGCTAGAAAGCTCATGGTCGAATGTTTCGTTTGCTCGAAAACTCGAAAGCCGTTGCGAGATAACAGCGGGAAACGGTCTCTTCGCCGTTGTTTTGCCCTGATGGTATTTGCCTTGCCTCCAGCCACAACCTCAGGGTCGACAATAGACTCTATGAGCAGCAATCGTTGTCGCCATGCCATCCCATTGTCTCAAAGAAGTATGAATAGAGACTCCTCCTAGCGTGGAGCGGCGAGGAGCGGCGAGATAACAGCCGCAACAGCCACTCAACTGCAGCCAAAAGCCTCCAGAGCTCCCTACTTCTACCCTTGCTTTGAGAGCATCAGATAAGCTTACAGCGCCATTGTAGCATGTCGAAAGTGGTTTCAATAGTAGTAGAAGCGAGTGGAAGAGGCCGCTTGGATGTCCCCATTGTCCTTACTGGTGCTGAGTAGTGACTTTTGTGTCACGAAAGCGAATTTTGAGTCGGGTTCACCCACGAATCCCGTGTTAACATGCAGTCCATGCGGGTTGATTGAGTCATTGAGTCCCGCATAACATTTCTTGTTGTCGTCAGTTGTCAGGCGGCGCCGTCATGATCAGGACCTCTGTGGAAACTCGAGTCGTGCTACTTTTCGTCTCCTAAATCCTTTTGATCGTCTCCTATTTAATGGATTTCGTCTCCTAAAAATAGGAGACGAAACGGATCGTCTCCTAAATCTTTTGTCTCCTCTTAAAACGTCTCCTATTTTCAACGGATCGTCTCCTATTCTCAACGGATCGTCTCCTAAGTGTACCATGTAAACTGTATGGTATCGTCTCCTAAATCTTTCGGATTGTCTCCTATTTCGAAACGATCGTCTCCTAATTGGAATGTCTCCTACTGAATCGTCTCCTAAACATAGGAGACGATTGCTTTCGTCTCTTAAATCATTTCGACCGTCTCCTATTCCTCGGTGTATCGTCTCCTAAGTATTTTGCCACCAATGACGTTTCCACAGAGGTCCAGGCCACAACGCTGTCTCCGTACCGGTACCTGGTACCTGGTACCGGTACAGTACCGTATTTCTGTTGGCTACATAAATTGTACGACTGTACATGTACGGGCAGTTATAAGATATATATGATATTTTAATAGTACTGTACGTCCGGTAGGTCCTTCCGTGCCGTACGGACAATGGCATCGCGGAAAACAAATGAAATAAGTGCCGTCTACTAGCTAGTATTTCCTCCAGTCTTTGTGTTCCCCGTCATTCGGAACGAAAGAAAGTAATCTTCCATCTGCTGGTCCTCTCTTCGTAGCATGCGGAGATTCGATTCTGTTTGCCCGATCTTCTCTCTTTGGCCAACACCACCAATGGGAAGTGCACGGACACCATGGCAATTGGTCAGCCAAAAAGAAATAGGATCATGCAAGCCCGAACGCCCGAACTAGCTAGAGCTACTAGAGTTGCGAGCAGAGACCTTGACGCCGTCAATTGCCCGGCTTGATGAAACGAGAGCATCAAAAGCCCACGAGATCTCGAGGAGGTTCCAGCGACAGAAAGGTAGCCAACAATGGCTTCTATGGCACCATCAGCTCTTTTGTGGGTGGTGTCGGCATGACAGAAGAGCCGGCCAAAACCCCAGTCTAACGATGAAGAATGACGACGACATTGAAGTCCTTTACTAGTATCTACTTCTCTTCTACAGCTGTTGGGACTAATCTTCTTCGAATCTCATTGACTGAAGCGAATCTGCTCGCTGGGAGGTTCTGTTATGCCAGTGCAGGAACAATGGATGAGGATGTAAGAAAGTAAGTGTGCGTGATGACTGGATATCGTGTGATGAAAGAATTGGTGGACAAGTTAGATTGTTGCCTATGGATTTGAATCCTCCGCCTTTCTCTTTTTGTCACCACCTGGCAGTCCTAATTTCGTGGCAATGATACGATGAGCTTCCCTGAATTCACTCTCGTCTTGACATTCGCAGCTGTTTTCTTTAACAGCATTGGTTTCCTTGTCCACAAAGTAATCCATGGCCGCTTGGATCGTCGGAGTCAGTTCCGTCACATCTTGTTCGCTCAGTTCCTTCACGCCCTGTCCCAGCAAGTAGGCCATTGCAGCGGTTCTGTGACTCCAACCCTCACCTTCTTGTGGAAAGGCTCGTTGCATCCAATCATGAGCCTTTCGAACCGTCAAGACGGGATCCAGCTCTGCAACATGGTCGTAGGTAGTGTCATAAAGATCGTAGACCAAATTGTTTCGATTTTCATAATAGGAGTTGTCCGCCACTCGAATGGTCCAGTCCACAAGTTGCTCCACTGGGCTACCGGAACTGGAAGAATCAGAACCTTGTTTTTTGTAGCTACTTTGGGCAAGAGCTGTCAGATCGCACAAGTTGCCGTGAAGCCGGTTAAAGCATGACATGTCTTCAAAAAAGTCGTCGCATTCTCCACCATAGTTTTCATTGTCCAAGCTCTGCGGGTCGCTGGATTTCTTGAGCCGTTCAAATATGCCCTGGACGACCTTTGGCAAAGATTTTTCGTCGGGAAAGGTCAATGCCAAGATGTAAAGGGCCACAATAGCCAGAAAATGTTTGTTTTGAATGTATCGATAGGCTTGTTGCTCTGGCGGGTCCTCTTGAAGAATGGAAGAAAAGTGTGCCATTATGGATTCTGGGTCTTTCCCACGAAGAGGGGTGACATCTGAAATGAGTTTGCGGTTGACAAGAAGATCCACAACTCGAGTGGATAACTCTTCCTGAGATGATGTTAGAAACTTCAAGGCCTTCGCGTAAACCTTCATAGTTTCATCCATATTCACGTCGGTAAAGTCAAAGTGACCCTTACCAAACCGATTGAGGGATTCCGGAACTTCCGGTAGGGTGGATTCCAATAGTGCAAAGTAATCCACTTCGGGATGGTCTTTGTGGTATTTGCGTAAGGAATCAAGAAAACCTTTTGGACCTCCATCATAATCGTCTCCACTCACTTTCCACAAGGGCGTTGCCTTGGTGAAGAACTCATTGATTTCTTCGGGAATACTACTTGCACTGGACATTCTTGTTGTGATCAGGAGGTTGAGTGGGGCTTTGTTCCTAATACTCAATTGATAGTGCGGATTATGAAGACGCTAGCTAGGCTTCAAGCTGACCACCGGCCGAAAGAGACAAGCTCTTCAATAAGGAACCACAATTGGGTTGGCGGAGCTGAGCAATAAGTTTTAGGAGAGAAGTTCTTTGGACCTGAGCAAGTTTTTGGAAGTCTGCCACTGTTGCTGGCTGCCGGTGTTTTCCATCGGTACTGGTACCGGTGGGCCTGTTGTTGCGGCTGAGCAATTATTATAGATGCGGACCTGAAAGGGTCATCGGCACTGGAAGACCCAAGGACCCTTTATTTCACCGGTGCGGGCAACTGGCCGTCGTCCTGTGGACTCACAAAAATTGGATTCTAGGTTAGCCAGGGAGAAGCAGGAAAACGCATTACAAGCATTACACACCTGAGTAGACTGGTTGGTTGTTGACTGTCAATGCTATGGCTAATAGTGAGGCTGCAACTAGTAGAGTAACTACAAACTATTTAATAATCAAAGTCAAACTCATTGTCGACTCTATCATAGTACTCCACCTGCCACATTGGCCGCTCCATAATTTGGAGCTGCACAATGTTGGCCACAGCATGGGCCATCTTACCATGTTTATCAAGGGAATGGCGCCACCTCTGAAGGAGGCAGCCCCATTCCTTCAGCCTTCTATTGACACATTCGTGCCTGGCCCTTGCAAGAGACTTCCTGGTAGTCTGCTGTTGATTGTCAAGGTGTCGCCATGGGCAGTCAAAGTACTGAGGATACCCCCTGTACCCTTTGTCAGCCACAGCTCTCTCATCTCCCTCAAACATGTGGACCAAAGATGACAAAGAAATGGCAATATCAACCCATTCACCACAAGGGAAGGGTCCATTGATCCACACAATCCATCCAGTCTGAATACAAACACCAATTTCATACCTCAGTCCAGGACCATTGAACTTCTTGGTAAACCAACCAGTAGAGAAAGGACCTGGTTCCCTGATGCGAAAGTCAGTGCCATCAACAGTCACCAGACACCGACTGCCGTTGTCATTCATCCGTCGGTACTCCCATCTGATCTGGAGGAGTGGTGTTGGATTGCAACATGTACATGGTGAGGGCTCTCTGTTGATGAAGACGGCGATTGATAAAAGTGAAGAAGAAAGCTTGCTCATGGCTCACCAAGTCCAAGCTCGCGATCTTCTCAATGAACACCCACACCCAGTGCCGAATCGTCTTTTCATCCTTCATAAAGATCATGGCCAATACAGCTGTGACAGTGTATGTCCTGAGGAACATGAGTGTGGCCAGGAAGTAGGATACCCAGCGAATGTCACTCAGAGGATCTTCATCGTCCAGCATGTTCCACAGTTCTGCCGCAAGATGAGGAGCCACACCAAAACAGCCACGAAATGTCCGCTGATAGCGATAGGCCTCATGGTTGACTGCTCTCGCTGTAAGCCCTTGGTAGATGGAAGCTGTTCTGATAATTGTGTCAGCTGTGATCTGCATTGTTGAAGTCAAGTCAATTTTGTGAGAATTTCGAAACTCGAAGACGAAACTCGAAGATGACAGAAAACTCGAAGATAATAGATCCAGTCTAGTCATGTCCGGCTTACCTGTAGCGCTCTGTACAATCCAGTAGGCGGTGACCATTGTCAACCTTGTAAGACCAAATTGAGATGCTGGAGATGGCGGTACCGGCAGAAAGAGATGCACAAAAAGAGATGGTGTCATGGTGGAAGATGGTTGAAGATGCAAGGTAACGAAAAGTGTCTCTTTCAGTAGTGGCTGACTCCTTTGCTCCGAATCCTGCTTTGCTTAAGAGAGGACTGCCGGACGTTCTGTATTTATGTGCTTCCATTTGGCGCAATTATTCAAATTGTCTACATGTTTTTGGTCACAATTTTGTCTAGAATAATGGGGTTTTACTGTGGCAAGCTGGACCTTTCATCGCCTAAGGGGAAAATCGCCCCATTCTACCCAGAACGTCCAGGGGACATGTGATATGTCGATAACACACCTAGGAGGAAGTGTCTAGCTCATAGAGGATGCTGTAGTATACTTCTGACAACTAGATTGAACCCCGGCACCATGATAGGCTACTGTTGAACAGTCTAGAATGCCGGTGGAAACAGCGATATGGAACGTCATGACGCCCTGGATGATCGCCTGTTTCAGGAGGCGATCTAGAAACCTAGAAGACCTCCTTCCTAGCCAAAGAAGGCTCAGGTGCACTTCTATTACTAGTAAAGAAGGGACGCCCGGTTGACAGGCTGTTCTTGTAGTGTTCCATATCGCCCCTCCAAGTTGTCGATATGTGTGTGGGGCCATTCTGTGATGGCATAGCACGCCCTCAGAACGCCCTTGCAAAATGGAGGTCAAAATTGTGGAAACAATGATTCATTTGTGAACCAACGGTTGGAATCGAGTTGCCAAGCAAGCAGCGCGCCATTCCACATGACTGAGAGGCCAAGAAAAATCGCGAACTGTTATAATGACCATGTGAACACAGTATGACCTCTAAGCCTTCCTGAACCACATGCGTCTGAAATTTTATTACCAGCAACTCACCTGGCAAGAACGATCTTGCCGGTATTGACAACGAACCACAAAACTGGCACAGGTGTGGCTTTCACCCAGCACTATCAGTAGTAGAACGAAGCTAGCTACATAGGTCAATCGATCATTCAGAGATGCGCTCTTCCCTCTTTCCTCTTCTCCTCCCACAAATCGAATACCACAACCCACAATCAAAAGCAAACAGCAAAGTTGGCCACAAGCGAAGAAAGTCGGCACGCAATATGTCCTCGAGAAAGACGTCTCAGAAGTGAACCTGGTGAGCACATTAGATGCAAGGTTCAGTCCGGAGAGCGACTTTCAAGTGTCCTTCTTGCGCTTGTTCCAGACTGAGGGCCATATTCACTGTCATGAGGCTATCCTGCTCGCTCGTCGCACGAGCCAGCATACGCTTTGCAACGAAGTATCGCTATGTGGGGATAAACACAAACCAGTTTCGCTCTCAGTTCAACAAAGCCAAGAGGAATGGTGATAATAGGTGTTGTACTCTCAGAGGACCACAAACCACCCCAAGATGATGATGGACCATACCCAGTTCTTCCCAGCTTTGTTTAATCCATTAGAGCGTGCCTGCTCGCTCTAGCCAGGCCTCCTGCAGTTGCGCAGCTTCCCTCCATGGCTGACAATGATGATGAGGAAGCTGATGCTGATGGGGAGGATGGCCCCACTACTTGGAAGCCAAAGAGGATGGTCAAGGAATGGGAGAATGAGCATGGCATTCGCCATGTCACTATCATTGTCTGGCTGAGCAGTGGCGTGACCGAAGCAGACATCGAAACCATGGTCTCTGCGAATGGCAAGAAGCTAACAATCAGTGAGAAGTGGCACCAAGACCTCTTGGATATTGGGGAGTTCTATTATCTCTATCAACAAAGGCGAAAGAAAGCCTAGAATCCTTCTCTTTT